GGTATTATTTTTGTCCAGTCAGTCCACTCGACTCTTGCTCAATTCCGGTTTTTTATGATGCTCACCTTTTGACTAAATGGAGCCAGAATGAGGGAGGGGGGTGCAGCGGATTCCGTCAGCATCCGACTATCTTGGGAGTGTTTCTTTAACCCTTCATTTATACGGCCATAGAGCTAGTGCTCTGCCCATAGGCTTCTATGAAGATGGCAGAAAAGGGTTATGGTGAAGCGACCTACGTGTCGACCCGACGTCATGCACAAAGAGTCTTTTAACACACGAGAGAATTTGAAAACTTATTCGGGGTGGGGGGGTTAGTGTTGGGGCCAAATTAACTTTTATAAAAATTTTCTTTATATCACTCATGTTGATAGATTTGGCCGTGATACGATCATTCAACGTTTATTTTTTGCTTTTGAAAAAATTACTGTTGACGTTGAATGTTCTTGCAACAGCAGAGACTCACGGGGCATGGCGATGGCCCCACTTCTCTGATGTTTGGTTATTTGATCTACCATCTTTCTTGGGTGACAGCGATCAATTATTGTTGTTGCGGCTTTTGACAATCAAAATATACCTAAAACCTGTCTTAAAAACAAAGAATCGAAAGAAAATTCGCCACGTGGTCTCGGAACAAGGATGCCAAAGCTATACTTTTTGACTTAGCTGAAGTGAACAAAGAGTATTGAAGCATTGAAGCACCGAAATACCATTTTTATATCTTGGTTCACTTTTTAGGGTATTTAGTATCACTCACGTGAAAGAAAAGGCGTAAAGAATCAAAATACTACCTTTCTGCTCTGTTGAAAGTGATACTTTTCTTTTGATTGACAGTATAATTATGCCTAAAAGGCTTCAACCCTGTGTTAGGTCCGCTTGGGAACAAATCTGACCTGCAGTTATCAGGACAGGAAATCTACGACATATCAACGTGAACAGGCGATTAAACACCTTCAAACCCGAAGAAGAGTTAAGTTTTTGACACCACGATGTGAATGTAATATAAATTATTCACACCCCCTGGAGACCAACTGTTACTCGACAGTCTCAATTAACCTTACGTACGTCCGGTGCTTTCAACGACCGCCAGTCTGATTGACTTCCGCCTACCCATTCATACTCAGGCAGACATGTTCTCTTTCTCCTTTACATTCTCTCTCTCTCGATCCCCCCCCCTTCTCTCTCTCTCTCTCT